ATAGTCACAAATAGACGGGGATTTCCCTATTGGACATTTTATTAAATAATTTATTTCTGTTTGTCTCTATTAGAAGACATTTGTATTATTATATTAAATCTGTTATTGTAACAACATTATAATGTCGGCCACAGGGAGTAGAATTAACATTAATAGTGTTTTCAAATCATGTATTTGGAGAACGCTAAATCTAACGTTCTCCATTCAGGAAACAGAGCACACTGTCGGTATGTATGACGTCACCATGTAATTGATGACGGAATAAAGACACCTCCTCCTCCTCAGTAATTTGATCCAGACTACAACCTGTCAATCAATCAACAACCACTGTGTCATGTGACAGGGTGTTTTTATCGGTAGGTGTAATTGAGACAGACGATGATTTTATGTGAATACCACTGACATAAATACAATTTATATGTCGCTTTTGTAATATAATATAAAATATATAAATAAAATATTTATGGTAAAAAATTATTGTGGAATTAATTTATGGGAGATTAGATAAAGAACTGACAGTTCTCACTATAATAGTTAAATACTAGATAATGGAAAGGGAATTTGCTGAAAATTTCAGTCAAATTGATCCACTTCGAACCGAGAATTTAGCGATTTAATTTTGGGTCTAGCCCAACATAGTTTCGATTATCCAATTTTTGATTCAATCAGCAGCAGCAGATCGGGTTCTAATTCAGTAAATATCGCAGGCTAGCGATGACCTGGAGAGTTGATTATAGTCTGGATAAGTTAATTAATGTCTAATTAATAATTTAGATAACATTTCAGGCGTTAAGAAAGACCTGCAATTGGCAGATTTAGATCTTGCACAATGTGTGTTTAATTCGGTGTCCGCTTTTACATGGTGTATCTGGCTGTAGACCCATCACCCGACATAAATCCGACCCTTTTGGCGGATTGATTTTATTCCGCTTTTGGGTGTTGTTTATTTTAGACTGCTGATGCATCCTCCATATTATCATTACAAGGGCTGCTATCAGTTATTATGATTATAACTCTACGATTCAAGCTTGGTTGTTCTTCATGATTTTAACTCTACGATTCAAGCTGGGTTGTTCTTCATGATTATAACTCCACGATTCAAGCTGGGTTGTTTTTCAAGATTCATGGGTTGAATAACAATCCCAGGTGTTTCTTTTGCTGTGGGTTGATATTTTTATTTAAACTGCCGTGGCATACTAATCAGAATTATTACAAAGAAAAACGACAGTCTATTTTACTGAAAATGAACTCCCAAATCTTCTGTTGGTTGACATCTTTAGTTATGACTCCTGGGTCATCCCTTTTATTATCATAATAAATACGGGTATTACGAAAGAAGGGTATAACGAAAGAAGGACATCACGAAAGAAGGGTATAACGAAAGAAGGACATCACGAAAGAAGAGCATCACGAAAAAAGGGTATCACGAAAGAAGTTTATAACGAAAGAAGAACATCACGAAAGAAGGGTATCACAAAAGAAGGACATCACGAAAGAAGGGTATCACGAAAGAAGAGCATCACAAAAAAAGGGTATCACAAAACAAGGACTTCACGAAAGAAGGGTATCACAAAAGAAGGACATCACGGAAGAAGGGTATCGCGAAAGAAGTTTATAACGAAAGAAGAACATCACGAAAAAAGTTTATAACGAAAGAAGAACATCACGAAAGAAGGGTATCACAAAAGAAGGACATCACGAAAGAAGGACATCACAAAAGAAGGGTATCACGAAAGAAGAGCATCACAAAAAAAGGGTATCACAAAACAAGGACTTCACGAAAGAAGGGTATCACAAAAGAAGGACATCACGGAAGAAGGGTATCGCGAAAGAAGGGTATCACGAAAGAAGAGCATCACGAAAGAAGGGTATCACGATAGAAGAGCATCACGAAAGAAGGGCATCACAAAAGAAGGGCAACGTAACGTAATATCTCGAGGCGGCTACATGGAAGCATCCGCGATGCCGTATCGCCTGTGTATTCCCATTGCGAAATGCCCTAATTAATTTCGGTTGTATTTGATGTGCATACAGACCCTTCCCCCCCACACACACACACACACACACGCGCGCGCTCTTCTCTTTATGCATAGAAGAATCATTTGATTTAACAATGAATAACTTTATAAAAATAACGTTTGGTCCGATTCATACTAATTTTAAATAGCTAGAGTTACTTACCTTTATTTAGAAAAGTCACGCAGCTAAATCCAGAAATTCATTCGAAACATCGGGACAAGATGTGCAATCGGCAACACGAATAATTTTGAGATAATAATGATAATAATAATTAATATATATAAAATTGTTTATAATTCTGTAATCAGACATAGACTCTTTATCTATGTCTATCAGTAAAAATAATTCCTAATACTGGTAGACATTGAAGATATATAAATTGGACAGTAGTATCCCTGGTTCACATGGAGAAATACGGTGTTATCCGAATGCAATAAAATGTAAACACGAAGGCCGTTGACCTCTTAGCGTGTAACGGTCAATCGGATACCTGACACTACTATTTAAAAATTATAAGTTAGTCAGAATGGCATGATACAAGGGAAATTGAAATGGTAGGTAAATTTTAACAGTAAATGCCTGTGTAAACAATGTCTTGTTAGATTAAAATCTAGATATGAACTTTTGAATAATCAATACGGTATGGTAGGCCTAATTGGTATGGAAACAGCCGAAGACCGAAGATCCAATGAACCAATGACATTGCATGCTTATATAATTAAAAGCAAAATGTAGCCTACCGTATGCCAAATCTTTGAAGTTCTGTTTTTTGTTTTGGAAATTAAAACTTGGGCACCTCACACGTGTCATCCACCAGAAATGTTTCCTTCTTCTCTCAAACATGCTAAAGTTTTACCATTCTATAAATCTGGTGCTAAAAATGATCAAAGTAATTATAGGCCAATTTCTGATAACATTTATCATGCTATTAATAATAAACTTTATACAGGTATGGTATTTATTGATTTTCGCAAAGCCTTTGATTTAGTTAATCATAATCTTCTACTTCAAAAACTGAAATTATATGATTTATCTTATACTCTTATTAAATTGTTAACTTCCTATATATATAATAGACAACAATGTACCAGTATTGGACAAACTTATTCTGCCCCTGCTATGATAACTCAAGGTGTTCCCCAAGGTTCAATCCTTGGTCCTTTGTTATTTAATTTATTTATTAATGATCTACCTTTACATTTACATGTTAATAATGATTTATTTGCTGATGATACTACTGTCTATTCCTCATCTTCTGATGTTACTTCATTAATTACCACACTGCAAAATGAAACTTCTATTATTCAAAATTGGTGTTCCACAAATGACATGGTAATTAATGAAACCAAAACTAAAACAATGAGTATTACACCTTCTTCAAGGCGTAAATTACTTTCAACAAAATTTCAAATTCACATAAATAATTCACCTTTAGAAAATGTCTCTACATTTAAACTTTTAGGCATCATTTTTGATGAAAATTTCACTTGGTCTCCCCATGTTGATCATTTATCTAAGCAGTTGCTTCCTACTGAAGTACTTAAATTGTTCTATTTTGCTCATATTCAATCTCATATTAATTATTGCTCCACTATTTGGGACTCTTGTTCAATTACATCTATATCTAAACTTGAGAGACTTCAAAAATTATCCTTTAAATTAATTTACAATAGACCTATCTCTGATCATTCCTTCTCATCTAATTATCAATTTTTATCTTCATCCTTAAATCTTTAAACTATTTATCAAAGACTTTTAATTAACAAATATATTTTTGTTTATAAAATCATCCATAAACTTTGTCCATCATATTTATATAATACTTTTCATTATAACACCACTCCATATTCATCTCTCAATAATAGACTTTCTATCTGTAGACCTAATAATGAAATATTTAAATGTAGTTTACAATATAGAGGTACAGCGCTTTGGAATTCTCTCCCATATTCACTTAAAAATATTAAAAATCTTCATTTATTTAAGAAAAATATCACTAGGCATGTTATATCTTCTTCTTAACCTGTAGCCTATATTTAATATATCAACTACTTACTACATATTACCTATATATTACTTTTAGTTTTGAAGTTAAACTATTTAGCTTATCAGTATATATTTGAATGTTTTGTGTGTGAGTATTTGTTAAGTGTCTGGTTCTGTTACTGTCTTTTTCATTTCTTTGTTATAAAGGGCACAATTGTAAACAGGCTTTAAGCCTAATTTTTCACCTTTAAAAATAAAGATATTATTATTATTATTATTATGAAACGCAAATTAAATTGTAATTGGGTTTTACGTCCTCTAACTCTGTCATTCAGTCAAGTGGCATGCTTCGATTCCCTGCATGTACGTGACAAAATCTAGGGTTTTCTCCGAGTTAGTCCCAAAATGACTAACTCTCCCTCTGTCTCCCTCACAGTTATTGGGAGTCGCTTGCAACTGGGCCAGGGCCAGGGTGAATTTAAACTCTACCTATTCGGCTGCACAAAGTATTTGTTTCGGAAAGCTAATCGTATAATATTGTTCTAAAATCAATTTACTCGCCTTGTTTTCTCTTAAAATTAATGTCTCATTTACTCATGTTATTGCTTCAATTTCGCTAAACTATTTTTATTTTTGATAGTTTATTTATATTTATGTACGTATCATATTTTTAATATTGTAAAGCATCTCTGAATACATCCGAAAGCAGAACGCTATATAATAATAATAATAATAATAATACACAATTTATTTAATGCCCTTAACGATAATAATTGAAATGGCTAGTCTGACATGTGGTTGTTTTAAATTTGCTAAACTTTTATTTTTTATATTTTTATATTATTTAGTGCGATAATAAGATGGATAATATCTGAAATGGCTGATAAATGGAGGATAAAAAGTGAAATAGCTAGTGTGACATTAGGGAGAATAAAAAGTGAAATAGCTAAGGGGAATAATAAGTAAAATGGCTAGTCTGATATTAGGGAGGATAATAAGTGATGTGACACACTGTGTATCGATCCAGTGTAACACTTGTTTACAAGTTGGGTATATATAGGTCAATATATAGTATTAACTTGTATATCACTAGTGGTCACGGTTGATATTCTATACTACATACAGGTGATATATATATACACAGTTCTCAAGACGGTAAGCTAGGTTGCAGGTAAGATTACATACATATTGTCTGTTTTATAATAATACAGGTGTAAATTACCTGGTTGTCAAGACGACACAGGAACTGTTATAATACACAATAAACATAGAATTAGGTAATATGTACATGCGCTTTATGGTCAGAAGTTATGTAAGTGTCATTTGAGTCAAGTTTCTTTTCGATCGCACTGATCGCAGGCTTGTACCAGTACGGTACTCTTTAATTTCAGTATTTCGCTTGTGTGTAGCGGTCTAGAGCAGCGGAAACCGGAGTAACCCACGAGGTTAGGCAGGCGATCCTACTCCTTCGCCCCTGAGTCCTTGTCTAAAAGCTTGGAATCGAACCCATGCCACTTGATTCAATGACAGACCTTATGGTCTAAATTAAACGTGTTAGACGACGTTGAATTATTACATTATGTATGATAATACAAAATTAGTGTTAATTATCATCAAACAGTTTAGAATTCACCCAATTTACTTGTTTTATTACAAAGAAACTCAAGTTTACACATAAACAACTGGATTATTGATTTCTGACCCAGAAATGTTCATTAATTAAACTGACCCAAATATAAAAATACACACTTAAATGTTTTGGGTTTTTTTCTAAATGACACTCCTTCGTTCTTCGCCCAACAATTGAGATAATAAAATTTGCTTTTTGGACTATGATGATACTTCCATTATTGTGGTGCAGTGATTAGGGCGCTGGATTAATAACCGAGGGGTACCTGGTTCGATCATGGTTTTTCGTGGTTCCCCTTATCAATGGTGTATGACGGAAGGTCTGAAAAGGAACAGCGCCTAGTCACTCGTATAGGACAGAACAACTAAATCCCACGTAAAATACATAGGATGCTTGATAATTGGAATTCGACATGGCTGAAAGACCACTGCACGGGCACAAAATGTCCCTTAAATTACACTGGACTGGAGGGCTTATCCCGGTTGGTTCAGACCTATGATATTTCATTTCAACGTAATAATAGGTTAGTTAAAAGACAATAATAGCTGTGTTTACTATGAGGTCTATAGACGGTGTTGTCGATTGAATAATAAGATCAGATAGCCTATATGAGATATACAGTGTTGTATAATAAAACTAGATACGGTAGATTGCCTACACGTTAATATATCAGTCATAGGCCTATTCATGTTTATATATTAAAATATACCAGCCCATATGTTTATATTAAAATATACCAATAGTCATAAATATAATATGTTACATGAATAACCCGAAGAGGCGCGGTGACGCATTGAGTTAGACATTGGCTCGCTAACCTGGATCTTCCCCTTTGTCAGTGACGTAGAACAAAGGGCCTGTATAGAGGTCATGTGTACACATTGGAATTCGATATAAGAGTAGGCATTATCACCGCTGCACGGGCAAAATTTCCCTCATAGCACACTGTATGACGTATGCCCGTCTTCATTAACTCAAGTTCAGAGCAGAACAGTAAGACGTTAAACCCCATTCCATTTCATTTTCATTCTGTAAGATTCAAACCCGTTGGTTCTTATTAATTTGTCTGGCATTATAAGGTACAGTTGTTTAACTTTCAGCTTTGATTGGACAATTATCACTGTGTATATTATACAGGAATGGATAAATCGAAAGATCCCGACAGAAACAGATGTGTGAAGAATAATAACATCAATGTTAAAACAACAGATACGGTGATAACATGTTATTCAAATGGTGTTAAAACGGTCTCCAATATTCTGTAAGTAGGCCAATACTGGAATAAAATGGGGTTTAACGTCGTGTCCGCATGTTGGTCTTCAAGGGATCGTAAATTGTAAATTTATTGAATCATTTTATTTTCAAATCATTTAAATCTCAAGTTCTGTCGTCACGTGCGTCTTGAAATGTTTATGGTGCACTTGGACCAATACCCAACTCTTTCATCTGAGCTTTACGGTCTCTGATCTGCTGAGAAATCAGATTATATTTGCGTAACCGATATTTCATCTGGCGTAATACGACATTCGGTCGTAGGTTTTAGATCTGTCGCTATTGCACGCAACGGATTGGTGTCGTTCGTTTGAAATACCGCGGCTGGAGTAAGTCCAAAAATCTCTCCGAAGATTAAAATCGGCCTTCTTAGAAATAATCTAAAATTGAATCTCGGTCAAAATATTGGTAAACATTTCCAGTTATGGATAAATACCAATGTAACGCTGATAACACAATTATATAATTAACGATCGATACATAATGTAATCGATAAGAAAACCGCGGTGGGTCAGTGGGTTGGACGCTGTTCGATCTTTCGACATTCTTTCCCCTTGTCAATGGTGCGGGATGGAGGGCCTGACAAGGATCAGCGTCAAGTCATTGCTGTGCAAAAGAACCCGTGGCAGTGCAAAAGAACTTGTAATTCAATATAAGAGTAGGTCGTAGTGTCGCTAACCTGTCAAAATTTCTCTCGTAGCACACTGAATGTCATACTTTATGCCCGTCTTCATTAGCTACAATAAAGCAGAAATATAGGACGCTAAACCCCATTTCATTTAATTTTGTTATCGGCTCATCTCCCCATTATTGTTATTATTTGATAGAAATAACCAAGTGTATGACTATTGTTATTATTTGATAGAAGTGACCAAGTGTATGACTATTGTTATTATTTGATAGAAGTGACCAAGTGTATGACTATTGTTATTATTTGATAGAAATGACCAAGTGTATACGAATGGTGATTATAAGGAAATCAAAATCCAGGATGAAAGAGATTCGTGTAAAAAGGAAGAAGAGGAACCCAGGAAGAAACGGGATTCAGAAGTTGGACGATTTGTAGAGGTGAACTATTTGTTTTTTATTCGCTCTACAGGTAACATTGATATATGTTCAGAGACGAACAATCCTATTGAATTTTAACAGTGGTTTGGAAAATCCCTTTCAGAGTTGGAGAAACGGTGATTAAGTGAGTAAGACGCTGGCTCACTAGTCTGGAGGTCGCGGGTTCGATCCCGGTATTGTCCGAGAAAGTTGATCGGGTGAAGGACAGAGGACCTGGCAAGGACATTTGCCTAGTTGTTCGGATAGGACAAAAAACAGAAGTCCCGTATACACGTTGGAAATTGGAATTCGATATAAGAGTAGGCTGCAGCGCCGCTGTCCAGGCAGAATTTTCCTCATAGCACACTGTATGGCGTATACCCATCTTCATCAGCCCAGTCGGAGTAGAACAGTAGGACGTTAAACCCCATTGATATATGAACACTTAAAAGGGCATTATGGAGGATTAGATAAAGAATTGGCTGTTCTCGCTATAATAGTGAAAAATATAGATAACGTAAATAGAATATGCTGAAAATTTCAGTCAAATTGCTCCACTCTGAACCGAGATATTAGCTTTTGAATTTTAGACTAGTCTCGATCATCATTACTAAAGTCGGTACTATAAAAGACAAAGTCTCGATTATCCATTTTTACGTTTAATTATTTTAAAAATATGTATTCCAATCCGCTAAATATCACACGCTAGCGATGCCATCTAGAGTTGATTATGGTCTGGATAAGTTTATTAATGCCTAATTAATAATTTATACAACATTTAAGGCCTAATATTTTCAGACTTTGAATTGAATTATCTCTAATAATAATAATATGTAATAATTATGTAAGATTTAGATAAAGAGCTGAACGTTCTTGCTATAACAGGTTATATTTTAAGAATTATTAAACTGTATATTGTATTAGTTATTAAAGAACGTTCTTGCTATACCAGGTTATATTTTAAGAATTATTAAACTGTATATTTTATTAGCTATTAAAGAACGTTCTTGCTATAACAGGTTATATTTTATTAGTTATTAAAGAAGAAACGTATACAAAAGAAATTGGTGTATGTGATATCTCTAACGACTATAGTTATACTGGTTCACGGTCTCTTCTCTGTTCAATGGTTATTACCATATTATTATACCATTACTACACCTATTCTACTACTCATCAGAATTATCATATATTGGTAAGTCTAGAACACTTCGTACCACCTCTAATATATTATTATACCATTACTACACCTATTCTACTACTCATCAGAATTATCATATATTGGTAAGTCTAGAACACTTCGTACCACCTCTAATATATTATTATACCATTACTACACCCGTTGGTTTAACCCCCATTCGGCACAAACCAGGTAATTTCGGGTTTATTTTATTTCTATTATTCTATAGGAGTATTTAGCATATGGATGAAATATATCGTGTTTTACACAAAATAAGCTGGATCAAGCCTATTTTTGTGGCTTCCTCTGGCAAGTTTCTTAGGAAACACTTGTCTACGATATCACCTTTGGTGGAAGTGGACGTAAAACTACAGGAACCAACGAACGAACAGGAGGACCAGGAGAAAATCCGCGAGATCCGCCAGGCAACCTTACTCGTTGTCACATACAAGCGTGGAAATCGAAACCACGCCACTTGAGTCAATGACAGACCTAATGGTTTCACACACACGCGTTAAACGACAAGACCACACACCCTCCCACCCCATTTGACTCAATGACAGACCTGATGGTTTCACGTACACGCGTTAAACGACTAGCCCACACACTCTTCCACCCCACATAAGAGTCATGATTAATATCTCTAAACTATAAAACTGTAGATATTTTTTAACCTGGTCATTCTAGACTGTACAATAAGCAGATTATGTCTGAGCTTCGTCAGATAAAGGCGACATCTTGTTTGTGTTTTCAGGAATCATTCCAGAGTTATTTCCCTTGCCTTATAATATTGATAAATAAAAATGAAATGACAGCTCATGTAGTCTATAACTTAATAGTCGTTCGAATGGGATGAAAAACCGAGGTCCCGTGTACACATTGGCGTGCACGTAAATGAATCCTTGACAATTTCCTTCATAGCACACTGTACAGTGGGACGTTAAACCCCATTATAAGGTTCCAGAGAAATAGATTTATCCCCTTTTATATGTATATGTTTATTTTCCGGGGTTATAAATGGCAATATTTGAGTTTTATATCTATATGTTTATTTTCAGGGGTTATAAATGGCAATATTTTTTGATAGATTTCTGTTACTATGGAAACATAATGTGGTATTCCTTTATATGGTGAGTACAGGGAAAAGGTTTTTATAGAAACTTCTCTTATTATTTCTGTTTATGAAATTGTAATACATGAAATGAAATGGGGTTTAACGTCCTACTGTTCTTCACCGACTGGGTCAATGAAGATGGACGTACACCAGTCTGCTATGAGGGAAATTTTGTCCGGACAGTGGTGTTACGTCTTACTCGTACTACGATTTCCAACTGCCAAGGGATCTTTTACTTGTTCTCTTTCCATCTCTTGCAAAATGTGGGCGTATCTTGACTGGCAACCGCTGGTTGAATGAAATTTTGTTATTTAACATAATATAGCTATTTATTGTCTGTTTCGGGATGGCACCACATCAAGCTGAACTGTTTATTGTCTGTTTCAGGACGGCACCACATCAAGCTGAACTGTTTATTATCTGTTTCAGGATGGCACCATATCAAACTGAATTATTTATTGTCTGTTTCAGGATGGCACCACATCAAGCTGAACTATTTATGGTAGTGTTTGCGTTCGCTAATGGACCCATGGTGTGGGCGATGGTGTTATTCAGGAATTCTTTAGTTTTACACTGTATCGATAAAACTACCTCGGTTTATATCCATCTATTACCAGCTCTACTCTCTTTTGTGTAAGTAACATCCAGTATCACTTCTCTTTCGTGTTTATAACGCTCAGTATCACTTCTCTTTCATGTCAATAACACTTAGTATCACGTTTTCCTAACCTTAAGGTCTCGTGTTTGATCCCTTTGTTGACCTAGAAAGTTCAAGGTTCCCCCTTGTCAGTGGTGCAGGATAACGGGTCTGACAAGGGACAATTTATAGGACTCCCAGTTTACTGAAATGTCCGTAAAATGAACGCTGGAGTCCCGACAAGGTTTGCAGGAGGAACATCGGGACTATTGATAGAACCTCGGGGATATTGACACGGCCATAGAATAACTCCCGAATTCCTGACAGGGCCGTAGAATGAACTCATGGGTTCCTGGCAGAGCTATAGAATAAACTCGTGGATTCTTGACAGGGCCGTAGAACGAACTCCTGGATTCCAGACAGAGCCATAGAATAAACTCGTGGATTCCTGACAGGGTCGTAGAATAAACTCGTGGATTCCTGACAGGGTCGTAGAATAAATCCCCGGAACCCTGTACCAGGATTTGTTTGTATCTCAATCTTATTCATCCGTTTTATTTTCTAGTTTTCTGTGATGGTTATTTTTTTATTTGTTCAGAATACGTTGGTATCCACGGAAGTGTTCAATATACTGGTACAGTGAGTTTCTACCTGTCATATTAGAATGGTCAATGTTGTGGATTATAATCATTCCTGTAGCCTGTTCCCTTCTTCATAGCGTAAGTTATTTCTATAGTTTTATAAACCCATTGAGAGAGAGAAGGAGAGGGGGGGGGGGGTAACGTCTACTCCACATAACCTGACCCCAATTGCACAAAGTATACTCAGACTTAGATTAAGAATTTACTCAAAATTGTTGTTGTTTTTAAAACTATATTGTATTCAATAAGAATAGGATTGTGGAACAGACTAGGCTTATAAATTATTCGTCTTATTCTCACTCAAATATGGCCCTTTATAAAACTTTTGTTGTTTTAAATGTATCAAATACATCAATCAGAAAGTATGTTCATATTTTAGTGTTTCTGGATCAAAGATATTTCTCATAAACAGTGATTGAAAATTGACTAAATTCTTAACTTAAAGTCCGGGACCTAGTCATTTCTAGACTAACATGTGTGTCTGGTTGGCTGTGACTACTAACGATCCCTGTGTCTGGTTGGCTGTGACTACTAACGATCCCTGTGCACATGTTACATGTTAGTCTCAAAATGACCTTGTTTCTGACATTAATAATTAATAACATTATAACCAGGTGAAGACTGTACTTTCATACAGAAAGTTTGACCTAGTTTATCTAATTATAGAATGTTATATTTTCAGATGTTATATATAATTGTAGACTTAATTTATCTAATTATAGAATGTTATATTTTCAGATGTTATATATAATTGTAGACTTAATTTATCTAATTATAGAATGTTATAGTATCTAATTATAGAATGTTATAGTATCTAATTATAGAATGTTATAGTATCTAATTATAGAATGTTATATTTTCAGATGTTATATATAATTGTTATAAGTATAATGAAACCGTCTGATGAATATTTAACTAGTTATCGATACCTCACAGCTAAAACCACCAAATTAGTTTTTAAATCTGTCAACATATTTGGACCCAGGTGAGATAAGTGTAATCACGTGATTTAACTGTAATTTATTGATAAATTATTCACTCAAGTTTACTGGCAAACCATTTTTTTAAACGGTTTTCTGATATTTGTGGAATATATTCGGGTCTTTAGCAGTGGGAGCTTGCGCTTTGTCACATACAACCGGGGAATCGAAACCACACTTTTGACTCAACGACAGACCTTATGATACCTGATGATACAGCGCTAACCGTACGGTTATCCAAACTCTCTAGGAATTGATGGAACCTGGTGGCCATTTTAATGGCACTGCCTAATAATAATAAATATATTACAGTATTTTGTATTTTTCAGATGGCGATTGTTAATATATAATATATTCAACTGGTTGTTTTGTTTGATATGCGTTACCATGACAATCATATGGTATAACTATTTTATCGCTCACTCTGTCTTTCTTGGCGCCATGTTTTTAATCGTGTCTTACAATGGCGCCAGTTTTTATATGGACGTGTTCAGTGTCCGAGCAGAAATATTTAAATGAGAAACAAACCAACTAAAAAGTTAAAGTTTTAAAAAGAATGACTCATTGTTTGAAGTTGTTATCATGACAAATGAGGAACAAGTTAACTGAAGACAATAACACAAAAGGTTCAAGTTTTAAAAATGTCAATGACTTACTGATGGGACCTGTTTTAAAGCAATGTCTAACCGTACTGATGGAAGCTTTTAAAATCAATGACTTACTGATGGAAGTGGTTTAAAATCAATGACTTACTGTTGGAAGTTCTTTGGAATCAATGACTCATTGATAGAAACTGTTTAAACAACCACTTTCTGTTGGAAGTTGTTAAAAACCCCAAGAACTTACTATTGAAAGTTGTTACCATGACAGTGAATCACGGATACACCACGCACTGGTTTTATCCAAATCTTGTTTATTATACCACAGATCGCCAGACTAACAATGGCGGATCCAGGTGGGAAGTCTCTAACACCCACCCCACCCACACTAAATAACAGTATAAAAATTACATTTATTAGTATGATTCTATGAAATGTGAAAATTTGAACTGTTTCCATGGCGATGTTGTTGATGATGAAATTTGAACTGTTTGTGTGACGATGTTGTTGATGATGAAATTTGATAATTATACGACACTCCGATCTCGGAGTTGGACTTCAAACCTAATACCCTGCTTCCGTCACTAACTTGGGGAGGGGGTAACCATGGGAAACTATCCCTTTAATGTGCAATATAATTAGCGTTTGTTTTTAAATACCGTGTAAACCTGCTTTAAGCGGACCATCTAAACCTGTTTTAAGCGGACCGCATAAACCTCTTTTAAACGGACAGTGTAAACCTGATAAATAAACTGTTTAAAGGAGCTATGGTTGAATCAAACCTACCAGTCCATATGTATTCTAAAGAAGTCAATTGTTTGAATTAATTCCCTTAAATCTCTATGATTTAGACCATAATAAACTGTTGAGTTAGTCTGTTTTGATGGGGAGCCAAAAATACAATTCACAAATCTTTTATGACAAATGTCTGATTTGTAAAACAAATATTGATTTTAGTATACAAATGTCGAAATACGACAACAAATGAAGAAATAAGAATTAAGGACTATGGATTAAGAATTAAGAACATTGAAAAAAGAGCTGTTTGGTCTTCCATACATTAAAAGTTGAATAATCAAGTTGAGTGTAATTTATCGTGGATTTTTCTGTGAAGAATAAGGTATTGTCCGACAAGTGGACGATCTGATCTTAAAATCATTTGACGGATATACGTCCTAGGGACAAAAGCATTTCAGAATGTTCGGAAGCAGATCATGGATGCAAGTGTTGGGTGTTCGATTCCACGCTTGTACGTAAAGGAATAAGGATTGACTAGGTCGGAAACGGGCGGTTATTGGGGTGTGGTTGGTTGGTATGTTTAGCAAGTATGTGTTTTTTGATCCGATTGTGGCTACGTCAACACCACCACCATTATGGATTCGCTACTCTGTTAGCCCCTCTCTCCTCCATTGTAGCTTCTCTACTCCGATAGTACCCCTCTCATCCATTATGGCTTCACTACGCTGATAACCCCTCTCTCTCTCTCTCTTCCATTGCGACTTCTCTACGCTGACAGCCCCTCTCCCCTCCAGATGGCTACGCTACGCTGACGCCCCCTCTCTCTGCTCGCTACCCTGACAGACACCTCCCTCCACCATTATGGCTGCTCTACCCTGACAGCCCCTCTCCTCCATGATGGCTTCTGTACTTTAACAACCCCCCCCCCCTCCCAGATGGATTTCATCACGACCAACCTGTTATACGTTGTTCAGTCACTCGTACAAGTGATCTATTGAAAGATAAAATTTCAGTTAGTCTGGAAATGACCAATCTCGTGATGAATTTCTCCTTCCTCGCTCTATGGTCATCTACACCCTTCAAAGGATCCGTTTGACAGATTGATCTCGAATGTCCAGGACACGAAAAACACGAGAGAAGATCGACCTTACATAACCACGGTAATATAAATAGGGATAAGTTAATGTGAAAATGACCCAAGTAACCAGCAGTGTGAAATCCCTGATGACGTCCAGTCAATGTACCAGACTGAATTATATATTTGATAATTAGGGGTTTAATTCATATAAATATATCATCTATTACTTATGTATCTGTCTTTACTATAAATATTATTGGATAGGAATCGAACCCGTGACACTAAGCATGCCAGTGGAATTAACCCGTCGAAATAAGAACCGTATTTAACCCTGTGATGTAATACCAAAATCTACTAGATACACAGCACACCTATCTTATGATGTAATAGAACAATCTACAGGGCGTCCCTGGATAAACTTAGCAACGCATATCTTGTGATATAATAGAACAAATTACAGGGCGTCCCTGGATACACCTAGCGACACGTCTATCTTGTAGATTCTGTTTGATTACATACTAGATGGTCAGAATGGATATGAAATGGGGTTTAACGTTCTACTGTTCTGCTGCGACTGGGCACATGAGAGAGAGAAATGGGGTTTAACGTTCACTCGAAACAAAGTAGGTCATTTAGCAGTGGGATGAACCGGAGAAAACCCACGAGGTTGGACAAACGCTGGGCTAATGAAGATGGTTTACAATACATCGGTTTATCTGAGACGAACTGTAGCGATTATTTGTATACGTGTGCAATACGGGGGTAGCAGAATTTTGTCTTGGCAGTGTTTTTTCCGCCTGTGCTTCTAATTGAAACTGCCGGGGATTATTTTATATACACGCCCAATGTGTACATTGGATCGGCGTCTGTGATTATACTTAGTTGTTCGGATAGGAGGAAAAACATGGTATAATGCTATAATTAGGACTTACTCCATAATACAGGGGCGAGTTAAGGGATTTGAAAAGCGGGCTAAGGGCTCCAATTCCAGATGAAGTCCAGATTTTTACGATGAATATATGATAAGAAAATATGCCGTGCGCGAACAGAGAGAGGAATCTGCCCCCCCCCCCACACACACCTCAGCCCTGCCCCCCCCACCTCTGTCCCCACATCTGCCCTGCCCCCCACCTCTGCCCTGCCTCCCCCCCCGCACCTTTGCACAGAAGTCATACATCTTCAATATCAGATAAATTGACAAAAATTAGCCCAGTTTGGTTTGGATTAGTTAATTATGTATTTATATATGTATTTATTTTTCAGTGTACAATAGAGTTTATAAAGGTGGGAGGGTGGTAAATATTGTATACTGTTATCTATGTATATATTTATTACAATAAATGTTGGTTTGGAACAATACTCCTGTTTTCATTAGCTCAGTCGATGTAGAACAGTTTACCTGTTTTCATTAGCTGGTTACACCTGGTTACTCTGGATACGTGTATCTAATTGTATTATCACACCTGTAGTATTATAACTCAAAATATCCCTCATAGCACACTGCATGACGTATGTATGTCTTCATTAGCCCAGTCGGTCCAGGAAAGTAAAACCCCATAGGGATACATAGGGATGGGGGTTTGAGGAAAGGGATGAGGGGAGAGTGATGCATAAGGTGGGGTTTGAGGAAGGGGATGGGGAGAGAGTGATGCATAGGGGTGGGGTTTGAGGAAGGGGGTGTAGGAGTGATACATAAGGGTGGGGTTTGAGGAAGGGGGTGTGGGGAGAGTGATACATTGGGGTGGGGTTTGAGGAAGGGGGTGGGAGTTGGAACGACTGAAGTCGGGTCTGCTCATTTTGGGGAATGTGTAATTGTTCCGCTACCCTTTGGGTTCTTGTATTAGCGAGCAACCGGTGATGTGTTAACGTGTTCACATTGCTTACAGACGTATGATATACTCCCGGACACCAAAGAGACAAATTAAATCTTTATAACCAGGTTTCCCCATTAAACGCTTCAAATTATCTACACTTAGACGTCTTTTATCGGATACAGCTCTAAAACTAAATCTCCACAATCACGACTGTTAGATCTACAAGCGTCTGTGTGTGGTAGGAGAACGAGCCTAGCCAGTTGTATACCTACTTCTTTATATAGAAAGATACGAATTTAAAGGAAAACGAGTCTGGTCAGCTGTCACCAGTATATATATATCACTCGTATCACCAGCCAGTTATAGACGCCATTGACATCATGTGATTGTATATCACCTGGAAATTGTCGCCGGTTTCTTGGTCTTGGTGGACGTCCATCAAATTTAATTAATCCTTTACGAACATTTCAATTAACTAGTTGTCTTTATGATGTGATTCAGTCTAAAGACGATGATCTTCTGACAGACTAGGGAAGTCACCAGGGAGCTATAACTATTCTATTGTAAATCTGACCAGTCAAGCAGTAGCAAGTTCAATACACAAACTAACCTAATGTATAATTATGTTATATCAGCCCAGACAGACATTCTTTAAACAGTGTAATGTAATCCGTGATGACATTATTTATTACTAATATTTGTGACAGTCGTTTGTCTGTCTGTCTGTCTGTTCATCGTTGGAGTAACATAGGCCTGGTAGCGATGAACTACAACCCCCGGGCTTTGGGACAGAGCAAATTTGACCCAAGGTTGACGCGGGTATCCTTCTGGCATAACAATATTCTTTAGCTGGATTAGACAGCCAATATATAGTACCATGGGTTGTCTGTCAGACGTGGAACGCGGACATACCCTAAAAACCGTTCGTCACATGCAGTCGTTTCTTACTACATATCGTAGAACAGAACTTGATCATCTAGTTTTGTCTCTGGTTGTATTTGTAATGCACATCTTATGACTCACGTTTTGTATCTTTAAATGTCATTATCAGTCCCAATATATCGTATAATTAACAAACAAGGTGACAGGAACACGAGCACGGTTTCTACATTTTTACATCAAGCTGGGTACAAGCTTAGATTAAAATAAAGTCATTCTCTACTCTTTCGACCTCACCATTTCGTAGAACGAGTTTACTGACGGATCCCACTACATCATATAAGGCACTCCTACGACATAACGGGGCATTCTGAAACCAGTATGGTGTCCCTTGAACCTCAACGGCCCCTCCTCTCTTAGAACCTGCCTGATGTCTAACCTAGAACGCACATTCTATTACCTATACACTCTCGGATTCACAGCCATTAATTCTATTGGCTAATTATGATGTAATTAATCATGTGATTGGTCACGCATGCCAAATATGGAATAGTAACTTTCCAATCAAGTGTTTTTAGACATAGAATCTATCCTTGAACTTAGACCACTTTTCCTGTTATTCTCACAATATTTTCTAAATAATTTACTTTGCGTATTAAATAATATCATATCATAGCGAATATTTTGACAAAGGAGAATAATTAATCAAGACCATGCTACTATTATACATATGTGTTCTTTAGCACAAATCACACCCTAATATAGTACTACGCCATGAAATGCATCCGATGTTTGAAACAGGAAGTACTATTCACCTTGATTTTATTCTTCTTGAGTGACTTTTCGATTCTGTCAATTCAAGTAAGATCAACACGAAACTTGACATGCTTATTCCTTGGAAAATTGCGAATCAATTGACGTCACAATATTCCAAAATGGCGGCGATTTCGTAATGTTCTGCTCCTGGTCCATATATGACGATCCTTATCGTTTCAGATAGGCTGAAAACATCGTAAAAAGAAATGTCTTTGGACTGACACGATAGTTTGTCCGCGATACCAGTTTTGCAGAAGCGAACGTTAAAGTTACAATTTCATATTTTTAAGTTATATTTTTAAAATGTATTAAAATAAAGCCCTAAAATAGATGGTATCTATAAACAGTCCTACCTTGTTAAAGAATAATCCTATTAATCCTATAATTCACTATTCCCAGTTGAGAAATTGTCAAAAATATCATTTTCAACTTCAAATTCAAACGTTTGAGGATAGCTATTCCATGGTGGGAAATAGGAAAACAAGGCAGGTAATTGGGCGGTAATTGTGTTATTATTTCCGGTGTGAAGATTGTTAAGTGTGAGAAAGATAACCTATGATCGTATAATAGTGAGTTGACAACCTATTGTGCAAAAGACATAGAAAAAATTATGTTTTGATTTTCTTAGAAAATATGAAATTGTAACATTAAAGAACTAAAGTTTTACTACTATCCAACTATCTAACCAGAGACAGTGAAATAAGGCACAGTTACTAGTATCTGACCAGAGACAGGAATGGTGAAATAAAACGAAACGAAATATTAGTTTAAATCACCAGAAAAAATATATCATTTGCCGAGAAAGTTCTTCGGTATTCCCTCTTGTCAGTGTCGCGGGACGGATGGTGTAGCGCATACAGGAACCACTGACAGATGTAATTCTCAATAAGTGTCGACCATAGCGCCGCGGTCCGGCATAAATTCGCTGCATGGCATATAGTCGATCGGTGCAGAAGAGTAGGGCTCTTACCCCCCATTTCATTTCATTTATAAAATATGCTTTAAAATGAGGCAACGAAAATTAAAAATAGACAAAATCAAAACCAATAATCTCAGAAAAAATAAATTTACTTTAAGACAATTGTTTGTACAGCTGTTGATGACGATATCCTGTTATCATGTCTTCCCGGTTCATTATAACACACCAGACTCTAATTGACCGTTTGTTCACACAGCAAGATAATTAACTGCCATTAACAGCTGGGGTCTCCATAATAAATACTCAATGATATTAGATAGTCAGTGAGGGGGTGACATAATGTCGACCAGGTGTCTGTTCTCTAAATGATTAATTACTGGGGGAATTAATGAGAAAGCGATTTCACTAGGTTACTATGCAAGCTCATTCATATTCCATTCATCAAATTCTCTCTACGTTTTCATGAAGTTATTATATTTTTTTTGTATTACGGACTGATGATGTTATTAAGGACTGATGACTTTATTATGGACTGATGACGTTATTACGGACTGGTGACGTTATTACGGACTGATGACGTTATTACGGACTGGTGACGTTATTACAGACTGGTGACGTAATTACGGACTAGAGAGGCTATTACGGACTGATGACGTTATTACGGACTGATGACGTTGACGGCTTACACTCAACAATGAATCAAGGTGGGGATTTCCATTTTCTAGACAGGTCATTGATGCCCATTCCCACGATTGGAAATTAGGGAGTTGTGGTTGCTCATGAAGTCTCGAGATTTTCCGGTTTCGATAGCCCAGTGGTACTAGAGTTTAAGGACCGCAAACTGTGAGGTGATTGGTTGCTGTCATATCATGAAGAAAGTTAGACCAACGGCAAATGTTTCCCGTGCTCTGGGTAGTGTTCCAACTTACCCCTTAGCTCTAACCAATAAGTTCATTCACCATTGACAATTGGTGAGTTTTAAACTCATGGGTCGAAACTTCGGTCAACGGTAAATTCGCGGGCTATGTTCACAAAGTATTGTTTGTTTACTAGGGTTCAGCCACGAGGTCAAGGTCAAACACTATCAATTAATCTAGTCTGAAGACTTTTTGTCGGCGTCTAACGAACCGATTTACTTCATCAAAATACATTCGTTCTCGCCTAAATACATAACCATTCTCTTGGACACATATTTTTTTAACCCAAGAGGTCAAAGTCAAGCGGTATCAATTAATCTATTCTAAAGACTTTTTGTCGGCGTTTACCGAGCCGATTAACTTCATCAAAAGTCATCGAGTGGAGAGCCTGTTCATTGGATCATATGTATTTAAATTACAGCCGAAAAATCTATTTGTTGCTAATAACATGATATCTCGGGTAAACCCCTTTTAATTTCAATTTTAAAATTATTGACAGCCGCCATTTTTTGTCAGGGACAGATAAGCACCTAGGAAAGTTAACAGCGACGCTACGGTCTATCCTACATGCACGTCAACAACCACACACCCGAACAACACATGCTTTTCCTTGCCAGGCTAGGGTCGCCTGTCCAACCTCGTGGGTTTTCTCCGGGTCCTCCGGTTTCCTCCCATTGCTAAAGACCCCTACGCGCAAGCGAATTATTGAAATAAAATTGAATCACGTGTTAGTCCCGAAATGACCTAGTTTGTGTCGAGTGAAGGTTACCCTCTCTCTCTCTCTCTCTCTCTCTCTCTCTCTCTTCAGGGCTCCTCGCCCTGTACTACTGACAAAACAAAATAAGGTCGGAACTCTGAAACTCCGGGTAGCGAATACGCTCAATATTTATCGAGCTAGCACGGCTCCGCGAAATCAAGACTTAAATCGAGAAATATCCCGA